AAACCAAGAAAGGAGAGAGTTGGGAAAGGGAGAGTGATATTAATGTCAATGACCCCCCCAAAAAAAAAAGGAGAATGAGGACTGAGAAAAGACTACCAAATGTTTATATTTAATGATCAAAACAGAGACATTTCAGTAGAGGGGAAAAGAAGAAAGATTGCAGGAGCTTAAGGAGTAGGTAGTAAATTTAGGGAGGTATTAGGCACCACTCAGAGCAATTCAACAGTGGAAGATAGGAGAGAAGAGAAATTATGCCCTGTGAAGGCATCAGTCAAGTAAACGTTTTGTTTAGCTTTACATTTGAAAATAGCAAAGATTTACATATGTTAGAAGGCAGAGGGAAAGGAACACAGTGAAGAGTGAACAATTGGAGATGCCAGAGACGAGTAATAATTGAAGGAGAGAGCAAAAGGAATAGGACAACAGAAAGAATGTCCATTAACTAACTCAATCTCTAATATCAGTGTGGCTAGTTTTCATATAAGCCAGTGCAGGACACAAAAAGTACTAAACTGTTGAGAATTTTCTGAAAGTTGCAATGAAAATGGAGGGAGAATATAGCATGAAAGGACAACTGTACATAGGTTTTGATGGTGAAATAGGGTAGTTTAACCTGGCAGAGTTGGCAAACTGTGGGACCGCAGACCAAATCTGGCCCCCTGCCTACTTTCATTCTAGTCCATGAACCGTAAATGGTATATGTGTGTGTGTGTGTGTGTGTGTGTGTGTGTGTGTGTGTGTGTATAAAAATCTAAAAATTATTCACATCTCAAAGACCAAGGGCTAGATTTGGCCCTCAGGCCCAACAATAAAGAATATTGAATGGGAAAGATTAAAAAAAGGTGAAATAGCAGGTAAAGTTCTCACTTGACAAACTTTAAACAACATGAAAGAAGAAATAGAATTCACAGCATCGCAGAATGTTAGAGTTGGAAGGGAAAGGCCTTAAAGCTCACTTAGTGCAACTCCATTTAAAAATGAGGAAACTGGCTCAGATTCTTAAAATCTAGCCAATGGCTAAGACTTATTCTAGCCTGCTTGTCCTTATGAGCATCACAAATGTTTAGATTCCTTAAGAGTCTGGCCAATTGGCAGACCTTTAATAAAACATTTCCTTTGGCTGAAAAAAAAATGAGAAAACGGAGACTCAGAGAGGTGAAGGAACTTGCCTAAATGTCATACAACTAGGGAAAAGCATTCTCAAATCTTTGGGATCTTTTGATTCCAAATCACACAGCTGCCAGATTTGTCTATATCGCAAAATTTGAATGGTTCCTTCCTGACATATAAGGTCCTCTGCAATAGATTTCCAATCTACCTTTCAAACCTTATTTCACTTTACTCCCCTTCAAACATTATACGATCTGGCCAACTGGACTACTAGCTCTCTCTGTCACTCTCTCTGTCTCTCTGTCTCTCTCTGTCTCTCTCTCTCTCTCTCTGTCTGTGTCTGCCTGTCTCTCTGTCTCTGTATGTCTGTTTCTGTCTCTCTCTGTCCAAATATTCCCAAGACATTTTGTCTGGATCTCTCCTTTACTTTACCTTCTTTCTCTCCTTACTATGTAGTATACTTATTTGTATAGACGTAGTCCTCTGATTAGAACTTAAGCTTCTTGAGCACAAGGAACTGTTTTGTTCTTTGTAAATTTAGAGCACAGCACAATGTCTTACACATACTCAGTATATTTGTTTAATGGAATTAAACATCACATTTGCTGGATGAACTGTTGACCAAACAATATTTTTCTCAGGGTGAAAGAGAGCTGATGGTGACAAGAGAAAAACAATGAGATTAACAGTGACCTGGTGCCCATCTCAAAGGAGCTGGATCAGTCCACACGACTTTGGCAGCTCTGGCTGCAGCATAGACAAACTGGGGAGGCGAACTTGTCTGCACAAAGAGGCAGACCAGACTCAGTGTAGTAGAATTGTGTCACACCTGCAGATAATGAGTTTTGAAGATGTTGGAAGTGAGGATGAAAATGCTTTTCGCCTGTCACTGGAGAACAGAGAAGTTTTAACCAAGCTGTTTGACAAATTTGTTGCTTTAAATGAAAGTTGATTTTTTTATTGATAAATCTCGTTCCTACAAATCATATATAAACACCTAGCATATTCTCAATTAAATCCTTCACAAAGTAAAATCCCAGAAAATAGTTAAGTTGACCATATAAGAATGATTGCAATATCCCACTTCATACTTTGGTTGCTTTGCAGTCCTTCAAAGAAAGAAATGGGAAACATAATAATTATTTATTTGTACAATGTTTTTTGACCTAAGTTTTGTAGCTGTTTAAAATCCCACCTTCTTTCCTGGTAGAACATAATTTTTGAGGACTGGAACTGAGGTCATTTTTTGGTTTTGTATCCCAAACACCTGGTACACAAAAACTGCTTAATAAATGCCTACTTAGACTGAAGCATGCTATTTTTTACTTTCTTTCTTTTTTCTTTCTTTCTATCCTTATTTCTTTCTTTGTTCACGTTTTCTTGCACAAAATGACTAATATGGAAGTGTTTTACATGATTGCACATGTATAACTTATATCAGATTGTTTACCATCTCAGGGAGGGGGAGGAGAGGGAGGAAGAAATAGAATTTGGAATTCAAAACAAAAAAAATGAATGTTAAAAAAATGTTTTTACATATAATTGGGGGAAAATAAAATATTTTTTAAAATAAATGCTTGCTTAATTGAATTGAATCTGCATGTCATGATATGGAAGGAAGAGCTCTAAATAGAGAATAATAGGACCTGATTAACTCTAGCTGTGCTACTTACTACCTGTGCAATCTTGGACCAGTCATTTAATCTCTCTAGGCCTCAGTTTACTCATAAATAAAATAAAAGGGTTGTACTTAGCTGACCAATATACAGGTAGGCACCTTAGCTCTAAAAATTATGAGCCTACAAATCTATATATTTGAAAATGAAACCCCCAAAATGGAGGTGATCAGGGATGAAGTGAGATCAAAAATATCAGAAATGTGTAAGTCATAGAGAGAACTCTGGGGACTTAGAAGGGATAGGTCATATCCATGATAAGAGACTAAGTTCAACAGGAATAGAGTTAGATAGCGAAGGAAAAGGGAACATCTACATCTGAAGGCATCAATTATCTGAAGATTATTGACAGTTGAATGATTACTGCAAAAAAGTATTTTAAGATGACAGTTCTGATTATTTTCTGTTGTAGTCTGAAACACAATCAGAATGATTCTGGATGCAATGCATGAAGATTTAGTTACTATGTTGTCAGGACCTATTAGGCCTTTTGCTTTAAAGGTTTCTCCCTAGGACTGAGTGAAAGCTCCATGATAAAACCACTAATAGCAGGTTAAGTTTTATAATAATAGCCTAGATCAGACGAAACTTGGATTTTCTTCCAAATGTAAACTTGACCTGGGTGGGTAAGGAAATTTGCTGATAATCATGAGCTAAATTAATCCAAGTGAAATTTCAAGTATATATATTAAGAAAGAAATACTGCCTCTCACTCCTGCATTGTTGTAACTATGTTCTCATCTGGTCTTTGAGATCAAATTGAATTCATGGCCCCTGGATCCACATTAGTTAAAGAAGAAAAAATAACTTATAGAACAGGCATTTAAATAGTTTTCAGAGATAGGCCACCTATGCTGAGACATGTATGTGGCACCAAGGTGACTCAGTGACCTCTTTGACTCCTTACTACTTGTCTCTTTCTCTATCCTTATTTTTTCCTTGTCTCTCATTTTTTCTCTTCTCCTGCTTTTTTTCATCCTCTCTTCCCCAATCCCTTTCTCTTCCTCTCTTCTTCCCTCCTTCTCTCCCCTGGCCAACCCTCAGGCACTACTTAGAATTCAACTGGTGATGACAGGACTAAGGGGGTGATCGGCTCCTGTGCTGGAAGCTACCAAAACTGCCAACAGGAATAATTCTTCAAATGTAGTCCTCACACCTAACTGCAGCTTGTGTGTCACCACCACTGAGAATTAGCAAAGCATTAGAGTGAAGGCAGTGTTGACACACACACACACACACACACACACACATACATACATACACAAAAGACCTAAATCCACGACAATTGTTGAACAAAAAGGAAGACACCAAAATTTGGAGCTAAAAATAGAGATAAATAATTGTATCCAAGTTCCATCTCCCCAGCACAGGCATGGGACTGAACCTGTGATTAAACTGTTATAGGAAACTGTAGGTTAAGGAAATTCCCTCAACCAATGCAAGTCAGTGACTTCTCTGCAACTTATAGCCTTGGAGCCTACAGCCTGGAGTGGTTATGCTTTATATATGTGAGAAATATACATATGTGTGTATATATGTATGTGTGATTTGGGACTTGAACCCAGGTCTTCCTGACTTAGATACCAGTCTCTCTCTATGACTCCATGCTATCTTTTATTTCCAGTTCTACTGTGTCTATATATGGACACTCCATCTTTGACAGATGCTGAGATGAGAATTCTCTAAACTCAATAGTGTTGTTATTGCCTGGGGCTGCACAGACTCACAGAGCTAGACCAGGTCCTAGAAATCTGGGTCTCTAGACTCCTAGTTCACAGTTCTTTCTCCCACATGACATGGATCAGTAATTAAGTGAATAATTTACATTCCTGTCACTGGACAGGTAGAGAAAAGGAAGACCCAAGGTGATAAGGGTTATGAGACAAGAACTATTCAACTGGTCCCCATTAAGAGAATAATTTTCATGTGCTCTTTAATGCAAAAACAAAAGAAATATAATCACAAGTTTTCATCACTATGGTTTTAATCATTTTCCAACAGATTCTTTTCTTACACTTCATTTCACAGAACCTAACTCCAAAAGACTAGGGCTGATGTCGCCCAAAGGCAAATTCACAAATCTGAGATGGAAAAGAAAAGGCATCTTCTCATAGGGAAAAAAAATTCTCTTTAATTAAAGGAAAATATTCTCATTCAATGGAGAATGTAAGTGTGTTATTACCATTTTCATACAGGATATCTGAGATTCAAATATATTCACTCTCAAAGGGAGAGGTTTTAGTTCAAATTTACAAACCAATCAATACCATTCCCTACTTCCATCCTTCTCTATTATTAACAAACAAAGTCCTTAAGAATATTCCTTTAAAATCAATAAAGTCACAACACTCTGATTCCATTAATTCGTAATCTGGTATAATGTAACCTAGGTTATACTGATTACCTTTGAAGAATTCCCAGCATAGGAGCAGGAAACACACTCAATAGCTCAATAAAGTTGTTGAATCACTGATTTGTACTAATTTGCACAATAATATAACATGCATACATATATAGCTATTTATATACATGTATGTATGTACGTACATGCATGTGTGTTGTAGAGATTATTTTCATTAATAGTAATACATGTGTCTATATGCATGTGTGTATACGTCTGTAGAATGGATAGAGGGCTAACTTGGGAGTCACTTAAAACTGCACTGACCCTTGGAACATCCTGTATATAAACATATATGTTCACCCATCTATGCATGCTATATTAATATATGCATATGTATGCATTATTGTATATATACACGTGTTCTCTATGTTTAGGGTTAGGTTACATACATGTACATATTATATACATGTTATATGTGGTATGCCTATAATTTATGCCTTTGTATAATGTATACATATGTATAAAATATAGGATACATAAGACATACACTATATAAAATGTATATGTTATATATACATACATTTATATGTATGCGTATTTTATAACTGGACTTAGTACAGTTTGCTGCCAGTGAGGTTCTCCAGCAGTAAAAATGAGCCTCTTCTCTGTAACTTATAGTCTTAAGAGTTGCTTGGGGCACTACAAGGTCAAGTGACTTACCCAGGGTAATATAACAAGTATGGGCCAGAGGAAAGACTTAAACCCATGGCTTCCTGACTGCAAGAAACCTGACTTCCTGACTTTCTCCACACTATGGTGGAGGCGTACTACATTGCCCTTCAATGCTAATAATGATACCTTACATTTCAATCAGGATCACAGAATTTCAAATTTGGAAGAGATCTCACATCTAGTCTTACCTATTCCTACAAAGAATTCCCATTACAACATATTCAACAAGTTGTCATCCAACCTGTGCTTAATGACCTCCCCTAAGAGGGAAGAAGCCACTCCCTCTTCAGGTAATCTGTTCCACTTTTGGTCAGCTCTCACTGTTAGGACACTTTCCTAACATCAAGCTTCAATTCGCCTCTTTTTGTGCCTCTTTTCACCTGGAGCTTGGAGACCCAATTGAATTTGTGGCCTATGGGTCCATGTTAGCTGAAGGAAAATAAACAACTTACACATGAGGCACTTAAATGTTGGAACATGGGAAAGGTTAGAGACCTCTACCACTCTTAAACTTTCACCCCCTGCTCCTACTTCTGCCCTCTGAAATCAAGAAAAAGTCTAATCCTTCTTCCATGTCTTTGTCCCTCAAATACTTGGAGACAACTATCACCGCTCCCCTTCTATTCTCCAGAATAAACATTCATGCTTCCTTCTTTCATTTTGCAAAACTTATCTAATGTGGCAAAAAGGGAGAGCTTTCCTTAGTATATGACAACTGTAAAAAATCTACAGAGAATAAATGTTTTGTGTTCTTTAACATTTTCATTGTATACAAATAAGAATTAATATCTGTTCACTAAAATAGGCCTAGAAGAACACCTAATAGAAAATAATTTATCAGTGGTTAGTTTTACTATATGTTCTTAACAATTATAATCCATATCTTTGCTTTGTTCATATCTTCCCCTTCCCAACTGGTGAGGTTTTAGCACACATACTTTGACCACTCTCTAATCCACCTATACACACAAAAAAGACATATATTTCTTTTACCGGAGGTTGGGGTCCTTTGGTGCTACATAACTAGTGTTCTTGCATCGAGAGCCAGCATTACAAAGGAGGCTTTGGACAAAGGGATAAACTCCTTGGCTTGGCAAGTTCCGGGGCTGCAAATAACCTGTGTACAAATGCGAGAAAGAAAAAAAGCAATGAAACCAGAACAGAGAAAACATGCAACAAAGACAGCTGTGGAAGATGTTTTTTAGGCAGAGAAATTTCACATAAAGTACTTGGATACCCCTAAGTTATTTATTAGTGGTGAGACAAAAGTTCTGTACCTAACTCTATCCATTAGCTAGGTGGCAGACTTTAAAAAGTCAATACAATAACCAAGTGTATTAAGCAATTAGTGACAAGGGATAGAAAGGCAAAAAGAAAAACATCTCCTGCCACCAGGGGACTTAGAATCTATTGTCAAATCTCTTTGCCCTCTCTACAACTCAGATTTGTCATCTGTAGAACAACTGGAACACAAGAAACCCTCATGTCTAGAAGGCACCAATGCTTCTACTCTCTCCAGAATATAAACTGTGTCAGAGGTGAAAAGTACTCATGAGGAATCACCTATGATTCCTGCAAACAACCCTCATATCATAGGTGATGGTAAAAGGGAGAAGGATTCTGGTTTTGCTGCTGCTCCTCTAAGAAATTTCCTATCTGATGATTTCTTCTCTTCCAAAATCAGCACTCTCCATTCCCAATTCCCAAATTACCATCAATAAGAATTCATCACAATTCAGCAAGCATTCATTAAGCACCTGCTATGTGCCAGGCACTATATTGGGTACTAGAAAAACAAAGACAAAAATGAAAGTCTCTGTCCTCAAGGAGCTTACATTCTCCTAACACCACCATTCTTCTAATTGCAAGGATTTGCAATATATGTGGGAGAATGAGTGTCCTCAAAATCTCGAGCATCATAGACATACTTCCGTCATTCAGCATACCACCTAGCCATAGAAGAGGCAGAAGTGAACTGAATTGAGAACCATCTTGAGATTTATGCACCTGACTCCAGGTGATATTGAGAGGAAGCAGTGACAGAGGGAGAAGGCAAAGAAAAAATTAAGTGGAGCACATTCTAAATTTTCCTAAATGGAGTAATCCTAATAGTCATTGATTAATACTCCAGGTGTTTTGCATTTTTTTCTTTCTATCTACATCTCTATGCTTAACACAGCACACCAAAATCCTGTTTGTCCAGAGTGATTGGGGATTAGGATATTCTCATTAATAGAATATTCTAGTTAAATGAAATCTACTATGATAGCCTACTATATCCTTATGCAGGTTGCAAATTCCCCCCCCAAAAAAAGATACAATTAAAATACATTGAACAATGAAACTATATTGAATGTAATTTTATATTTCTTTGATGATTGCAGAAGTGATTGAGAACCTTGGAGTATCTCTGGGTCATTATTAAGAACATCAGTTATCACAAAGCCAATGCAACCAAGATTGGGATGGAAGCAGAAAACTGGGAAAGAATTTTTACAGCCAGTGTCTCTGATAAAGGCCTCATTTCTAAAATATATAAAGAACTAAGTCAAATTTATAAAAATATAAGTCATTCCCCAATTGATAAATAGTCAAAGAATATGAACAGGCAGTATTCAGAGAAGAAATTAAAGCTATCTATAGTCATATGAAAAAATGTTCTAAATCACTATTGGTTAGAGAAATGCAAAATCAGAATAACTCTGAAGCACCACATCACACCTATCAGATTGGCTAACATGAAAAACAGAAAAAATGATAAATGCTAGAGAAGATGTGGGAAAATTGGAACACTAATGCATTGTTGGTGGAGTTGTGAACTGATCCAACCATTCTGGAGAGCAATTAGGGCTATAAAAATGTGTGTACCCTTTGACCCAGCAATATCACTTCTAGGACCCACATATACAAAAATATTTATAGCAGCTGTTTTTGTGGTGGCAAAGAATTGGTAATTGAGGGGATGTCCATCAGATGAGGAGTGGCCAAATAAGCTGTGGTATGTGAATGTAATGGAGTACTATTGTGCTATAAGAAATGATGAGCAGGCAGACTTCAGAAAAACCTGGAAAGACTTGTATGGACTGATGATGAGTGAAGTGAGCAGAACCAGGTGAACACTGAACACAGTAACAGCCATGTTGTGCAATGAATAACTTTGATAGACTTAGCTCTTCTTAGCAATGCAAGGATCTAAGACATCTCCAAATCTCATGATGGAAAATGCTGTCCACATCCAGAGAAAGAACTATGGAGTCTGAATGCAGATCGAAGCATACTATTTGCACTTTTTTAAATTCTGTTTTGTTTTGTTTCTTCTTTCTCATGGTTCCCCCCATTGGTTCTAATTCTTCTTTACAGCATGACTAATGTGAAACATGTTTAATAGGAATGTATATGTAGAGCCTACATCATATTGCACATCATCTTGGAGGGGGGATGGGAGACAGGGGAAGAAAATTTAGAATTCAAAAGCTTATGGAAGTGAATGTTGAAAACTAAAAATAAATAAATTAATTTTTTTAAAAAAAGAACATCAATTATGAAAAAGACTCAAGATTGATTAGATTCTGAAATATTCAGAAATTTCTTTTTTTTAATTGAAGTTAATAACAACTTATGTCTCACAAAAATAAAAGCAAGAATTTTTTTTTCTGAATTCAGACACAGATTTTCCGGTGGTTTAGGTCTTGGATAATTGTGGGTTTACTGTATTATATGTATTTTTTTTCCCTTACCTAGCCTTAATCACGTAATGGGTATTGCTTCAGTCAAACTGAGACCTGTTAAAGATCTTAACTTAAAAATAGCAAGGCCTCCCACCACATCCTGGGCCATCTCTAGTCATCCTGATCTACATCTGGCCACTGGACCCAGATGGCTCTTGAGGTTCAAGTACCAGATGCTACTTACTACTATTGCTGTTTGTCCTTCATTTTCAAAGAGGACCAATGATATCACGGGCGACATCTTGACTCGGTGAATAGGATTTAAGTGAGGCAGGATTGCACAAAGTCATCAGCCTCCTTCTTCCTAAGTCACCGAAGTCTAGTGACAAGCCCAAAGTCAAGATGACAGGCAGTGACCTGGGATGGAGTGGATGACTTTCGTGTCTTCAATGTCTGACCAGGTTCTGAGCTCTCCACAGTGCCTGTTTCGGCCACCTCCATGGCTATTGGAACAAATTGTTCTCATCCACCCATCCCACTAGGAGAAGTCTTCACGTGCTTGGGGCAGACATTCACCCAACTCACCAACAAGTCTGAGGCCTGTCAATTACCCCTAACCTGGTTTAAACCATCTGCTGAGAAGATTTACCCCGGTGTGGCCGCTGTGCATACTACAGTTTTTTGGAGCTCTCTGTGACAGTTGGGTGAAAGGTGGATATCAAAGGTCCATGAGGAAGCCCTCACACCAGAGGTGCCGGTCCCCCTGGGACACCTCGTACACCTCTTGTGCAGATCTCCTGAGATGAAGGCACCGTGCTCCTAAGAAGGGTTCCCCTCCTGTCCTGTATTTTTTCCTACTTCTTAGCTGGCCTTACCTTCCTTTGATTGGCTACATCTTTAAAATTGGTCAGACTGAGATAGTTACTCTTTTTTTTCCTCTGTACTATATCCATAGGGTCGAAATGACAGTTCACTCTTAGCAAGCACACCATGAACTAAACAAGTGAGGGGGGACTGACCCCTTTTCCCTGCTCTCTCTCTAACCCAACTCCAAGAAATGGGACTGTGGGTTTTGTTTCTTATCTGTTTCATTTGTTTTTCTCAGTTTCAATGTCCACATGATCTCCACCAGACCACCATGGGTCATTATTGAGAACACTGGAGCATTGGAATGTTAGCAACTTTGGAGCATATGGGATTCCAGGTGAGATGTTGCAGCCAGCTAGCCTGGCAGGGAAGTCCTAGAAGCCGTGCCCAGAGAAGCCAGGGGTGCCTGAGACTGGAGCTTGGGCTTTGGCCCTGGAACTGAGACTGTGTTCTGTAGGAATTTAGCTAAACTATCATCTCCCCAGACAAGCAGGTAGATTTAGGGGAGAAGGATTATGCCCCACATGTTGGGGAATTAAATTTATATATTAGTGATTATAACTTTAGAATTAAATAGTCCTTTGTAAAAGCTTATCCAGTTGTTAGTGACTAAATGGAACTGAGGTGAAAGGGATCACCTCGACACTTGGCAGGGAACCATTAGTGAGGACTGGAGCTAATGGTAAGGAGTCTAGATACCCCAAACTCTTTTAAGGGTGCTGGAGAACCCTGAGACAGTAGTAAAATGTAATCTAGTTGGGCCTTAGGCAGTGAGTGCCAGGATAGTCATATCACTATTGGGTAGTTATACAACTTATGTGTCCTTGGGTAAGTCAAATAAATTCTCCAGGATGCAATATTCTTATCTATAGTGTATCTTACAGGCACTTGGTAGCATTGTGGGAGAGTGCTGGGCCTAAAGTCAGGAAGACCTGAGTTCAAATGTAGCCTCAGACACTTTCTAGCTTTGTGACCTTGAGCAAATCACTTAACCTGTCTTTGCCACAGCTACCCTTTCTGTGAAATGGGTATAATAAGATCAACTACCTCCCAAGGTTGTTGTGAGGATCAAATGAGATCATTGTAAAGTGCTCAGCATGGCGGAAACATTTAATAAATAGTATTTACGATTAGCATTATCTACAGAGCAAGAGGTCTATAAAGAGAAATTTAAATCATATTAGCTACCTCTCCTTTTTTGTTTTATTTCTCTTTCCTCTTCCTTTTCCCCTCCCCAACCCTTAGGCCTCTCAGCAGAATTCACTGGCAGTCTTGATGGGACAAAAGACAAAAGCAGTTGATGACCCTTGTTGCATAGCACTTCTGTTACCATGCTGGTTCTTTCTCTACACTCATTCCACTTTTCCCTGCCATGTCTTTTTCCCCCTCAGTGTCTCAGGGGAGTATATTTGATTTTATAATATTTAAGACAAAAAGTTAGATCCTTCCTTAATGAAAGTATTTTATTGTTCCAAGTCTTATTCGAAAACCCCAAATTTCAAGAGAATTTAACCTTTTACAAAGAATTTCTTATTCAGGGCCTTAAAAGGCTGCTAAGCTTTCCTTGTAGAAATACAGAAATTAATTGAGTCAAGTCAATTCTTAATATCAAGCAGTTTCAGTCAATGCATCATGTGTAAAACTTTTATTGACTTCCTGAAGAATTCCCTGATCAAAAGAGTACAGATGAATGAAATTACAGAGCAACAAAAACTCTTAATTAAAAGAATAATGTTTTAGAGGTTTGTTTTTTTCACCAGACATATAATTTAATTGGAATTCCAAGTGAGGAAATTCCCTCTACCAATGCAAGTTGATATATATCTTCCACTTACACTCTTAGAGAGAGTTGCGTTGAGCAGTTGTATGACCTGAGGAACACACAGCCAGTATGAGCCAGAATTTGAACCCAGGTCTTTCTGACTCCAAGGAGAGCTATCTCTCTACTACACCACATCACCTTTCCCATGTTTTATATATGCTGAACAAAAAAAGAAGAAGAAAGGGCAGCTAGGTAGCCCGGTAGATAGAGCACTAACCCTGGAGTGAGAAGGACCTGAGTTCAAATCTAGCCTTGGACACATAACACTCATTAGCTATGTGACTGTGGGCAAGTCACTTATCTCCAATTGCCTCACCACCACCAACAACAAAAAAAGCTATTTATATAGTGTTTTAAAAGTGCAACTACCCATTTTACAGCTGAGAAAACAAAACACGAAGGAGGGAAATAATTTACTTATAGTCATATATCCTGTAAGTGTCAGGGGTAGGATTTGAACACAAGTTTTTCCTGACTCCAACTCAAGTATTTTTTTCATTACGCTATTCAATCACTGGTTGTATTTCATCTTCCCCTGATCCCTCTCCCCACCTTCCAACCTTTCCTCTCCACCAGTAAAAATAAAAAAAATACTTTTTTGCATTAGATGTCATTTTAATTAATTCTCCAAATGCCCTATTTCATTGTGGAAATGACTTTAGATCCTGAAATTTTCATCTATAACAAAACAAATGAAAATGAATACTACAAAATTATAATGACCAAGCAGTGCTCTAAAGAAGAGATGTAAGAAGGTACCTTCTTCCTGACATGTTCCTTCTTAGCACAGGTAGGAAATATAAGTGTTGAATATAGCATATAATTTCAGACTTTTTGATTATATTGGTCAGTTTGGCTGAACTTTTTTCACCTCTTGTTATTGTTATGGGATGGCTTAAGTTTGGGAAAGAATATAATAGAAAATTTTTGTGATATAAAAACAAAGATATCAATAAGGTTTTTTGGAAGGAGGTTACATTTCTAGAAACATAAAGGGTGTCTACTTAGCATTTGAAATTAGAGGGCAAATATTTACATCTGTGCTACTGTTGATGGATACATAAATCTAGACTTTTACCTCATAATATGAATGATAGAAATTAACCTATGATTCACAGGGAAGAGTTCGGAGTTTTGTTTTGTTTTGTTTTGTTTTTGCTTTGGCTAAACCCCTTTAATTCCTTCAACAGATCTTTTCATGGTATGGTTTCTAATCACCCTCACCTGGACATGCTAGAACTCAATATAACACTCCAGGTCTAACCGAAGCAGAAGACAGTGGGAAATAGGGATCCTTAGCCTGAAGAATGGACTTGGGGAAACATAACAGATCTTAAAGTATTTGAAGGGCTATCAAATGAAAGAGTAATTATGCTCATTTTACTTGGATTCAAGCCTCTCCCCTACCCAATCCAACCCACAGTGCTTTTCCTAAAATATGGGTCTGACAATGTCACTCCTCTGCCCATGAAATTCAGTGCCTCTTTGTTACCTCTAAGAAAAAATACAGGCTACTCTGGCATTAACAACCTGTGCCAACCATTCTTTCTAGACTAATCTTAAATTTTTGTCAAATGACTGTCTGACTTCATAATTTATTTCAGTTTATTGGGAAGAAACGTTGGTTTACTTGCCACAGCAGTGCCCTCTCTATGCTCCAGTCTAAATTTATGTTTGGTATATACAGACTGATCCTGATTCTCTATGTGGATTTCTCCAAATTATCTTCTTTTCTAATGGTTAAGATGTACCATACCAAAAGATTGGGTTTTTGTTACTCTCATTAATATTTTTACTTTTCATACCTCTTCCAAAACTTTAATCCTTCAAGAATAAGTCATTTAATCAGTGTTGATAGTCCCCCTACTCATGCAGACCAGAAACTCTCCAACAATTTAGTAGATAATCTTTAAGAGTTTCAGTGACTAAAAAATTCATTACCCAGTGGCCACCCTGGTAAAAATACTCTCCAAACTCAGCTACACTGATCAGTGGATAATAGGGTTGGAGTTCATTACCAGAACTTCCCACTCCAAATCTTTCCAGTTCACTAAGACCTGCAAAAATTGGTATGGCATAGCCCTTGAAAATCCAGTGTTACTCAAATACTCCAGTGAGATCTCAGATGGTGTTTTGTTTTGCTTTTTCATAAAAGAAGATGAAAGGTTTTACTTACAGTTATCTCTGTGTCTTGGAGTTTCCTGGAAGCGAAGCACAGTCAGAATTAGAAACAATGTGCATGGCCAGAGAAATTCAGACAGGGATAGGACCTGGAAAAGGATATGAGTAACAATGTTAGAAGTTCACAAGGGGCAGCTAGGTGGCACAGTGGATAGAGCACTGGCCCTGAAGTCAGGAGTACCTGAGTTCAAACCTGGCCTCAGATCAAACACTTGACACTTACTAGCTGTGTGACCCTGGGCAAGTCACTTAACCCCATTGCCTAGCTAAAAAAAAAAAAGTTCACGAAGACAATGGCACTCACAAAGGTGAATTAATATGGTTACCTGTCACATTATAATAACAACAACAACAACAGCTAGCATTTACATAGTGTTTAACCCTCACAACAACCCTGGAAAGTGCCATTGTTATCCTAATTTTATATATGAGGAAACTGAGGCAGATAGAAGTGACTTGTCCAGGGTCATATAGCTGTTAAGTGGCTAAGGCTAAATTTGAATCCAGAGCCAACACAAACTCCATTAGTGGAGACCAGAAACTCAAGGAGAAAAAAAGGCAAATGGCATGAACTAGCATTATCCAGTGCGTTTTTTGTAGAAGCCTGAGATTCCATGAATCGAGGGATTCCAAGAAGGAAAGAAAAAAATCATGAGCCAACAAAAATAGTAGATGATTCCTCTACTTCATGGTTTGTGTTGGTCACGCACGTTGCATACAGTTAGCTCATAAAGGAAAACTTAGAACTTAAGAGAAATCATGTGACTTGAAAGTTGTCATCTAGAATTTAATCACTGAATACATGAATAAGTTATGACAGGCAACTAGTTGAACGTCAGTTTCTCTTGCTGGACAGTGTATAAAATAATAGTATTGATGTATCTTACTATTTGCTAATGTTGTGGGTTTTTTTTTTACTAATGTTCATTATGGATAATTTGGTAAAATCCAATCAGTCAATAAATATTTATTAAGCACCTACTCTGTGCCAGGCTTGTACTTAGTACTGAATCCAAAGATGGAGGAGATGACTAAGCAAGAAGGTTAATAGACAAGATTGATCATTATAAACATTTATCAGCCTGGCTAAAATACCAGACTTGAGCCCAAGTCTTCCAGAAATTGTGGACAGCACTCTATCCACTGTTCAACATCTGCTTCTGTGTTTGCTACATTATGAGAAACATTTTTAAAAGTTCTATATTCTGGAAAAACTATAAAGGTATTTACAAACAAAATCCATGGAATCTGAAAACAAAACTTTCATATTATTTAAGCCAATATGTGATAAATTAAAACCAGCTCCTCCCAAAAATTGGTTTTTTTACATAGATAAATGTAATATACATAAGTATAACATACATAAATAGAATATAAGCTCCCTGAGGGTAAGAACTGTTCTGTTCTTATTTTTGTGTCCCTAGTACTTAACACAGCTCCTGGCACACACCAGATGTTTTAAAAGGGTTCGTTGAATTGAATTTGTTGTTAAACTGAATTCTTGATGGAGGGAAGACCATGTGTAGATATTACTAAACTGTCTAAAATATTATTAAATTTCTTTCTAAACAAGATACTGAATAGTGAGCAAAATGGTTGTGTTCCTTCCATCTTTCATACTAACTCATGCTAGACTGCCATTATAATATAGTTCACTAGGCCATAGAATTGGATACATCATGACCTGAATTTCTCTTCCAGAAGCATAAAAGCTATATATAATAAAATTATCATGTAATAGGGCATTTTAGGCAGGTATTAGTCCTCCCAACAACACTAAAATGGAGGGTGATCACTCTAGCTCAAGTGAAAGACCAGAACCTGAGTCCCAGCTTTGCCATTTATTTGCATATGATGACTCACTTTACCCCACCATGAGTCATAGTTTCTTTATCTCTAAAGTCAGAGTTAATAAGAGCTACCTAACTATGGAAATCCTGTGAAAACTATAAAGCACTATACAAATATAAAGTACTCTTGTAATCCCAACATTATTACTTAACATTTTTCACCCAGAAAGAATTAAGGATTTTTTTTGGATGACCACAAAGTGTTCAAATCAAAAGGCCTTAGGCAAATCTTGAATCTATTTCATGTGGTGTGTACGAGGAAGCTGAGTGCCAAAAAAGTGTGCCAAGTAAGTCATTTCTAAAATCCTTTCTTATCCTTTTCCCACCTCAACCTGCCCCTTCCCCTATCTAAAAAGCTCTGAAGTACTAATAAAATTGCCTGTACAATGAAAGTGAGGCATTTCTATAGTTCTTTAAAACTGACAAAATACAAACATTTTCACATTGGATTCTGATAACAACCTTGTGAAGAAAACAGGATTGTATTATTGTCATTTTACTGATGAAGACTGTAAGTCTCAGTAAGGTACCCAGCTATTAAGTAGGGTTGCTGACACTAGTCCAGTGACACTAAGGGAAAGCTCTTTACTAATCAATCAATAACCATCTATTAGGTGCCTACTATATACCAAACACTGTGTTAAATATTGGGAATACAAAAAGAGGCAAAAGACAGTTCCTGCCCTCAAGGAGCTTACAGTCTAATGGACTATAATACAAAATGAGTTTTATAGGCCCCAAGTGTGAGATAAGCAACATGGTGCAAAGCCCCAAACTCTTTTCAAACCTTTCTTTATGTACTCAGTGCTTAGCAGAGTGTCCAGCACACAGTAGGTGCTTAACAAATGTTTGTTGAATGACTGACCTCCTTTTCAGAGAAGTAAGAACAACTTCTAATAGGGCCTGAAGTTCCCTGATGAAATACAGCAAACTCTGAAATCTCTCACATCCATCTCCTATTTGTTCCTATTGCTATCACAAGAGCCTCCTAATCATTTTTCTTACTTTCTCTCCCCACGTTCCCTGCCAATCCATCATTCACCCTCCTCGACAGATTAAATGTCCTCACACATGAATCTGGTCCTACAGAATACCTCAAACTTCTTAGACTGGCATTTGACTTCTCTGAAAGCTGGTTCCAATCAACCCTTCCAGTCTCATTTTGTACTATTCCCCTTTGCAGGTACTAGATTACAGCCTAACTAGAAAAGTTACTGTTCCCCAAACAAAGTCTATCAGTATTCTATCTCCTATATCAGGCACCTGATACCTCTCATCTCTCCCTCACCCCACATATCCAATCAATGATTAAATCATCAAATTAACTTTTATAGATTCTCTCTCATTCATTCCCTTCTCTCTGTTCAGAAGGCTACCATCATAGTACAAGCCTTCCTCAGCTAGACTCTTCCAACAGCCTCCTAACTGGTCTCTCTGTTTCAAGCCTCTCCTTTCTTCAAACCCATCCTCCACACAGCTGCCAAAGAGATTTTCCTAAAACATGAATCTAACCACATCCCTCCCCTCCTTAGCAAACTACAATGGTTCCCTCTTATGTACAGGATGAAATATAAACTCGGGGGGGGGGGGCAGCTAGGTGTTGCAGTGGATAGAGCACCGGCCCTGGAGTCAGGAGGACCTGAGTTCAAATCCTACCTCCGACACTTGACACTAGCTGTGTGACCCTGTCAAGTCACTTAATCCCAATTGCCTCACCAAAAAAAAAGAAAAGAAAAGAAAAGAAAAGAAATATAAACTCTACATCTCAGAATCCAAAATTCCCTTCAACAAAGTTCAGCTCAATCACCACCTTCCACATAAAGCCTTTCCTACCTTCCCCCAGTTGCTAATGTTGTTCCCTCTCAAAAAAAATAATAAATTACTTGCATATATTTTGTACCCATTTCACAGGTACTGATGCATATCTGTGCATGCTATCTTCCCCAGTAAGATATATGGTCCTTAAGGGCAGGGTCTGTTTCATTTCTGTTTTTGAATTCCCAGTTAATAGCAAAGCAGACAATAAGAAATTAATAAATGTTTCTTGACTGACTGACTATTAAGATTCTCCCCATTCTTTAAAAGCATGTCCAAATGCCACTCCTCCAGGAAGCTTATTCTCATCCACTTAGACCTCACACAGCACCTCTTATCATTTATCATTTTATTTCATAGTTAAATGTGTATGTGATGTATTCTTCCACAAGACAGGAACTTAGTTGAAAGTAGGAATCATATTTTCTTAAAGCTTATTTCACCCCTCCCCCATTTCCCATTGCCTAGTTCAATGCCTCTGTACCTAGCCGGCAATTAATTAGATGGCTAGTATAATTGGAGGTAACAAAATACCATTCTTTTTCTTGTCTACACAATACCATGGAACTATTTCCCAACTTCCATATGTTCCATATGTATTCTCATCTGACCCTTTTTCCAGAAAGAATGTTAATTAGTGGGTGAAAAGAACAGCAAACAAGAAACCAGGAGTCTAGGCATAAGCAAGCTTCTCTAACATGATTACTTTAGGCTCTGCTGTTTTGAACCTGAGCAGACCTCTTGATGCTTTTAGCTTCTTTACTCTTAGGAGAACATTGGCCATTTTTCACCTCTTTCAACTCTTTCTCATGTCTCTTCTGAATAGAAACACTTCAAAAGTCAACCAATCAGTTCTACACCTCTTCATCTGCCTGTATGTGACCTGAAATCATAAAGATAGAGCAGGTGGGAAATAATGGTTCAATCGCCACTGTAATTAGAGGAGAAAAGAAATTGCCCCTTTGAGGTCATTCATAAGGAAGTATATCCTGTGCCAGAAAATCCAACAATATAAAAAGTTCTCTGACAATGTGCTGAAACCCAATATCACACTCTTTGATAGCTCAGAAAATCCTGCCGAGGATTACTTTAAGGCCGAGATCAAAAAGGAACAAAAAAAGGTCATAGAATCTGGAGAATAGAAATGTATTTTGCAAGCTATTTTGTTCATTCCTTGTACATAATTCACTCTTGGTGGGCAAAAAGATTTGGGGCTGCACATAGGATTAAAGGAGAACATAAGAATATGAAAGAAGATGTGCCCTTCCTATTCAGATAGCTTGATATTGGTAGAAGGAGAGAACATTTAATCTTTTTGGAAGCATTATGTCAGCACCAAAGTTAACATTTATAAATAACTCTATACTGAAATTGAAGACATTTATGGCCCTCAGCTTAGTAAATTGATGACAAAGCTCTATTCC